AGTGTTATTTACTGAACACATTCAAATAACTGTATTTGTAAATAGAAGAATTTTAAGAAATGTAAACTACTAGTAGCTATAGAGAGTAAGAGAGAGCACACACCATTGCTCTGGCTTCTGAAAAATGTCTAGTAATGAGAATAACATTCTCTCAGTCCTTCCTCTATCCCTAATTTCCCATAAAAAAAATGTTAGCATGTTTGTACAACCAGAGGCATGTTACTTATTCTCTATGTCCTTCTTCTGGGAATAAGAATTACGACATTGTCTGCCTTGTGGAGCTGTGAGAAGATGGACGGTATTAATCCTGTGATGCTTAGAACTCACTAGCATTGAACACTCAGTAGGCATTAGTCTAGAACTGACTAGATAGAACACATGCTGACTAATGTGTACTAACTTGACATAGGCTACAGTCATCAGAGAGGAGGGAACCCCAATTGAGAAAAGGCCCCAATTAGATTAAACTTAGGCAAACCTGTAGATCATTTTCTTAATTAGTTATTGATGGGAGATGGCCCAGCCAATTGTGGGTGGTGCCATCCCTGGATTGGTGGTTCTATATGAAAGCAGGCTGAGCAAGCCTTGGGAGCAAGCCAGTAAGCAGCATTCCTCCATGGCTGTGCACCAACTAACTCTTGCCTCCAGGTTCTCTGCTCTGTTTGAGTTCCTGACCTGACTTCCTTCAGTGACAGACTGAGGGCACATTTTAAGGGCTACAGAATTCATTCTCTTCCCACGTCCCTGCCTGCTCTGATGCACAATGAAAGTCAAAAACATTTTACTCACCACTGTCTGCCATAAGACTCCAGCCCTCCCACTCTGTGGAGTACTTCTGTTCAAAGACCTAACACAGTACTTTGAAAGCCAATAAATAACCTGAAGTCTACCTAAATGTAGATTCTGGTCTAGTATACTTGGGAAAAGCCTCAAGTCTAACAATTTAAACTAACTTCCAGATGTCACTATATTTCTTATTCGCTTATTGTTTGCTTTTAAGAGTCTCACTGTATAGACCATGCTAGCCTGTAACTCAACAGCATGGCCTGCCTCTGCTCCCACATGTTGGGATTAAAGGTGAGTGCCACCACACCAAGATGACATCATATTTCTTACTGTTCATCCATAGGCAACACTTTGAGTAACAAGGATGATTTCTTACCCTCCTCTTTATCCATTCTGCAATGTTCTCAACATTGACTTCTGGGGCTCACGTGCCTGAACTATTATTTGATGCTAAGAACATAGACATAAAAGAATAGTTTGAATGAAAGCAAAGGGTTGGCAGGAAAGACACAAAATGAAATAGAGTATGTGATAAAAAAGTGAAGGCTGAGAATGCCTCCAGGGCACCAAGGGTAGGCTAACCCACTGGAAGAGGGACTAACTAGCTGGGACTGTGTTTGTGTCCCATGGAGGGAAACTAGTCCGGAGATCTTCTAAGAAGAGTTAGGGTTGGAAAGCTAGAAATGAGATGTTAGGAAGTAGAAGTAAGGCCATATAGTTAGTGCCATGAGAGAGAATTTTGTGTGGACACAATTTAGGAGTTCCCTGTATGACATCTGACAGGCTCTGGAAGCCCAAAGATTCTGAGATTTAGATAGAAAACTCTACCATAAGTTAAGGAGAGGGATCATGTGCATAGGACAGAAAGCTTGAGAACACAGATTATTCCATACGAACTTAGTACATGGGCTAGAAAGATAAATTTAAGAGTACTTCCTGCTCTTACACAGAACCACTGTTCAGTTCTAACACCTGTGTAGTGCAGCTTACCTGTAACTCCAGATCCAGAGAATCAAATACCTTCTTCTGGCTTCTGTGGGCACACATTTGTGCATACATGCACACACACACACGCGCGCGCGTGTGCGCGCGCACACACACACACACACACACACACACACACACAAACTAAAACTAAAATTAATTTTTAAAAAAAATCCAGTGCATATTGACTTGCTTGAGCACAACTTTTATCACAAGACAAAGTTACTACTGGTGGCAACATCTAGATATATACTACAAGATCTAGCTATAACTGTAAGCCCTAAACTAGCCTTTAGGTGCATGCTAATAAATTGCTAACCATCAATACCTTTAGTCTTTAAATACAAATATCACACAAGCCATGTAATAAAAGAGAGAGAGATTGTAAAATACACATATTATCCCTTTCATGCTGTGTATCTAGGTTTCTAGCTTTCCTCTGAAATTCCCCAGGCCACATGTACCACCATCCAATGGGAATAGGCTATAGCTAATTGATAGAGGTGGGTTCCTATCAACATTGGGTAATTTTGAATCTATCACCTTTTTGAACTAAAAATAACCCCTGCCCCTGCTCCAGGAAGATGATTCGAGAGCATGAATACTTGGAAGCTGTTGAACACCAAACTCTGACCAGAGGAATGAAAAATTCAAAATAGCAGTTAACTGTGAGAAACAAAATTTCTCCAGGCCCCCTGGACATATCTGTTAGGGTGGCACTTAACATTTCCACAGCCTTATACATCTCCACAAAGAGCAGTTGCCATAGCACACCAGTCTACTTGGCAGAATGCTGAGATTTCTCCTTGTCAAAAGGAAGATAAGGGCTAGAGAAATAATTCAGTGGTGCAGATCTTCCAGAGGACCAGAATTCGATTCCCACTTGGGGGCTCACAACCACCTATAACTCAAGTTCCAGGAGGTCTATCACCCCTTGTGGCCTCCTTGGGGATGAGACACACACATGGTACCCAGATGTGTATGAAGGCCAAGATATACACACATTAAAGGGAGCTAGGGGAGATAAGCTTCCCATCTGGTGAGCTGTTGAAAGACAGTTTTTTCCTTCTCTGGTGCAAAGATGCTAGATATACTTTCTTATCCATCATCTTAGTTTCAATTGGTGACAGTTTTCAATTGTATGAAAAGTCTATAAAATGTTTTGGCTGTTGTTTACAAGGAAACCTTCAACAGCAGAAGCCAGACACACATAGTCTATCATGTGACCTCCATTGTTCAGTCTTATCTGGAGCACTAATTACAACAAGAACTAAGATCATAATGGTTTCCCTTTGTTGTCTGTTTGACTAGCAAACTATCTGAATCCATTTGGGCTTGCCTAGTTTTTACAAGTAACTACATTGGGAAGCATGGCAAACCATAACACTCACTTTGGACATAGTGGTACTAGTGTTAGTCACTATGCTCCTATCTTGAGGATGTTGGACCAGCTGGCATAGATGAGATGAAGAAATGTCACATCCTGCAATTTCCTGAGTGTACCAGTTTCTCCAAGGAATGATCTTGAATGCCATGACACACTTGTGTCTTCCCAATAAACTTCTCCAGTTTTACTTTTCTTTAAAGAACATTCTTTTAGAATATATTTTTGACCTTTGAAACCAGAGACAGATGTCAGAATCAGAGATTCAAATGTACCTTATTTTTATAAAATGTCTGCCTCTCTTGTATGATTTTTTTTAAATTTGTGGCCCTTGCTCTAGTTCATGTAATAGGATCAGCCTGTATCATTACAGTTTCAATAAATAAAAAGAAAATCAATATGCTTTAAAATGCCAAAGAAGAAAATATGACTTTCAAGATGATGAAAGTATTAATTATCCTTCTTACTTAACAAGAATGCTACAATATAAACTATATGAATCAACCAACATTTTTAAATTCATTGTATAAATGACATTTATTCATATTAACTGATTAATTCCCATTTACATTAATAAGGATATATGATGGCATCAACACATCTTTGCCAAATGCTTATCCAAATAGATTCAGCATAAATAGGATTAGAGTCTGATCTACTTTTTAGCATTAAGTTTAACTGTGCCTGATACATACTGTGATTATACAAGCCAACAGAAATACCTGCAAGTCACTGGGCATAGCTTATGATGCTAGTCAACTTCACTTTCCCTCTCGTCTAGCTCAGTGTTCTTTGCTCAGGATCTCAGAGTGGGAATCAAGCATATAATATACATACATTCATATATATGAAACAAATACCCCATTTTCCTAATTATATCAGCTTAAGAAAGTATGCAGATTCTAAGTGACATATCTAGATGTATATGGTACCCTTGAGATGCAGCCAGTTCATGACATATAAGTAGTCATAATTTGACTATAAAAAAAGTTCAAATGTACTTGAAAATAAATGTTACTAGTCAAAATATGTATTGGATATCATCTAGCCAATATTATTTACCATTCTTACCACAATAAAATTTATTAAAAGAACTACCCTTATAAAATTGTTATGACCTAATTTAACCGTGGTAATTAAATTATATATTTACAATTAAAATGCATCATGGTATATGAGACCAAATTTTCAACCAACTTATTTTAAAATATCTTCAAAAATGTGTGCACATAACTTAATGGTGAACAACTTCCTCCAGCTGCATTTGACAGTAATTATTCCCAGGACAGGTTTTAACAGATCTTTTTGTAAGGCCTCTCTCCCCTCATAGCTCTCCACAAATTAATGTGAGTCGAAGGTGTTTATGTTAGCGTGTGGGATTAATTTTCATATAACTATTTATGGCATGCATAGATCCCCAAGCAGCACAGTAGACAGTAAGATTCCCTGTGAAGAGCGGCAAGATTTATGTTAAGATCCTCTCTAGCTTGGCGCTTGGAAGGAAATTGCTAAGAAACTTAAGACCGAACTGGACCCGTTTCAAGTAAAACAGCTGATAAAAGAAAGAAGAAAAAGGAGGGGAGTGCTATACTTCCTCAGAGTCCCAGTAAGTTTCAGGGACTGGCCACAGAGAAAAGCAGGAACCTGAGAGCAGAGCAGCTAGTGGGGACTGCGCCCCAAAGAAGACTGGGCCTCCACCAGCGGCCGCTCGCCTCCTCTGCTCTTTGCCACCTGAGTGGAAGGTGTAGGGGACACACACAAAACTTCGTTGGAAGGCCAGTCTTAGGGACGTTGTAGGGGGGTGCGGTGGGGGAGCCGCCAGCGCGCGGGAAGCCGGCAGCCTTACCTGCAGACCCTCCGGCCACGACCTGCCGGGAAGCCTCGCGCAGTAAACTGACGTTGGAGGCCGACGACATCTTCGCGGCTGGAGGACCGGGTGGCCCAGTTACCGGAGCGAGCTCCACTGAAGCGGCTGCCGCTGGAGACAGGGCCCGGTCGGTCGTCGGGCTGGACTCGTCGCTGTGCCGCCGTGGTCCAGCTAAAGAAGGCGGTTTGAGCACAGGCTGGCCGCGAAGTTGCCTGAGGGGGTCCGAACCTGCCCGCTGCTGCCTGAAGCAGCCCTTTCCGAGGCGCTGGAGGGGGACGCTGGCAACGGGGGGGAGGGAGGGGTCGGGGGGGGTGTTGAGTAGAGTTGGCCAAGAGCAGGAGCCCAGGCTTGAGCTCCTAGATAGGGGCTCGCCAGTTTGCCTATCAAGACCTCCTGCGGAGTTTGTTTAGCTGGACGTGCGACCTGAGATAAGGACGGTGAAGCTGCTGCAGCAGCAGCGGGGCGACCCTTGCCCTCCTGGCAGGCTAGAAGCAGTACACAGTTGCAAAGAAGGGCTAGTGAATAAATTCCTCCAAGTTAAGTTACTCAGTAATTGAAGGCTACAGCAACTAAATCAGCAAATTCTGATGTAAGATGTGCTATCATAGCTGAGCAGTGGTGGCATATGTCTTTAGTCCCAGCACTAAAGGCAGAGGCAGATGGAACTCAGTGAGTTCGAGTCCAGCCTGCTACAAAGAGAAACCCTGTCTCCAAAAACAAAAACCAAAGAAGGGAGGAAGGAAGGAAGGGAGGAAGGAAGGAAGGAAGGGAGGGAGGAAGGAAGGAAGGAAGGAAGTCAGAAATTAAGAAAGCAAAGCGCTATCATAGTAACTTTGCCAAGAGAGTGGTTTTGGAAATTTATCCCATGCCTAAACAGAGTTTTCCTTACTGACATTCATATAAAGGCCTTGCTATTCAAGTGTTCTATAGCCAGTTCACAGGTTCACCAGGCCTAACTAAAAGCACAATATGGCAGTTGGGCAGAAAACTGGGTTCTTTGGGATTAGGGCCTAGAAACGTGTGTTTTAAGTACTTCTCTGTAGTTATAAACATTAAGGCAGGCCTGAAAAAGGGACCTAGTTATTTCTTTTTACAAAATGGGTAGTTACTCATACTAGCCCTTTGGAATAACTGGAAAAGTGAAACCACCAGTTAATACCTACCACAAGTTGCCAACCACAGGATTATGATATTTTAGAATGCTATGCTCACCACACCCATGACAGGCAGGAGATGATAAGAACTGGAAGATTATGGAAACCCTGTTATTATTTCTAAAAGATAGTGCTTAATACTAAATATATGTATTTGTGTCAAATAAATAGCCATTGTTCAATGTCAAAAACTTGGACATGTGCAATTTAATATAATACACTGTCAAGTCAATATACAAAGTATTTTTTGGACTTTATTTTCATTTCTTGGAGCAGGGGTGGGGGTGGGAAGGGTGGATGATGAGCAACCTGCCTGAGTCCATTTTGAAGGCAGGAGCCATTATGTTGTAAGTTTCTATTTAGGGAAAGAGCTGAGTTGCTCTGTTTCCTGGAACCTGACCTTCCCCAACCCAAGACCTTGACTTGTTTTTTAGAATACCCTTACCCTCCATGAGTCTCTGAGCCTCCCTAATCACATGGTAGTTTTGTTTTTCTGCATTTTGTTATTACCCCATTGTCTCTCTCCTATAAAACTACTTGTGACTTTGCTCCCTAAAAGGTGCCCAAGAAATGGATTCCAGGATGCTCTCTTTAAGCCAACTGACTTAGTAGGCAGTTGTTGACCAGCTCTTGAATACACCCCAATTTAAAAAAAAAAAAAAATCAAGCTTTCTTCAGATTTGGCTCAAATTGTGATTGTGGTCTTATTCTCGACATTGGGATTAACAAAGGTCCAATTAGTAAAGCACTTGTCATTCATTGCAAGCCTGAGTACCCAAGTCCTGATGCCCAACACGCATAAGAGGGATATGGTTCTGTAATCCTAACTGGGGAGGCAGAGACAAGTAGATCCCTGGAGCTGTACAGTTAGTGAGTCTGGTCAAACTGGTGAGTTTTAGGTTCAGTTCAAGATCCTGTCTCAAAAAGATAAAATGGAAAACAATTGATACCTAATAGTAACCTCTTCCCACCACACACTCCTATTACACATACACTCACAGGCTGAATGCCTGTGCTACCTGAATAAAAAACATATGTAGTGTGAGAAATTGGGTAAATTTGCTGATAAGTTTCACAAAATAACCAGCTTCTCATTTTGAAAATAGTCCATTTTGAAAATGTTCACCAATACCAAATGGTCAGCCCTGAAAACATACACGCATACACACTAGTAGCTATACTGACATTTTACTAGCATGTAGCAACTATTAATAAAAAAGGGACATGAGTTTAAAAAAAAAGAAAAGAAAGAGCAACAAATAGTATAAGGGAGAGCTTGGAAGGAGGAAAAGGAAGGGGAATATAATGTAATTATACCAAAATCTCAAATATAAAAGAACTAATAAAAAGTCCTAAGGGCAAAAGTGAAAATACCGTTCTCTCCCCCACCTTTCCCTCCCTCTCTCTTCCCCCACCCTTCTTCTTTCACTGGCTAACAAAGGGTTTTGAGAACTACCCTTTTACTAATTAAATATGGGATCTTATATACTATAATTCACTCAACAAATATTGAGAATCTATTACATTTCAGACATAGGTTCAGAATTCCAGAACTTATAAAAAACTATTTCTTCTGGGCTGGAGAGATGGCTCAGCTGTTAAAGGCTAGGCTCACAACCAAAAAAAAAAAAAAAAAAAAAAAAAAAAAGCAGAAATTTAGATTATTTTTTTTCACGATAACAGGAGTAACCATAGGCCAAACATATTCCATCACATAGAAAACTAAAATAACAATCTCCTCCAAATTAATCTTATTTGCATGTAAAATATAGACCTTTTGTATTTACTGTGTGTACATTGCATGGATGCATGCATACTGCAGCATGTGCAGGTCAAAACACAAATTGTGGTTCTCTTCTTCTACCATAAGTCCAGTGATCCCAACTCAGCAAGCTCATATCAGAAGGCTGTAGCAGCTGCCTTTACCACTGAACCATCTCACATGCCCCAAATACAGAATTAAAAAAAGTCATAACTAGTAAATCCTAAGGTTCCCACTCAACTAAACTATGCAGTCACTCGTAAAAACCTCCAGTTTAGCACTTTCCTAGAACTAGTACTGTTAACACTAAGCATCTCTCCATAGTGGATTGCATAATCTAGTGGAAGAGATCCTATCCTTTTGTAAAATAAACTTTTATCTCCCCTGGGTTATTTCAGAATATATAACACTTTCAAGTCGCTATGAATATCTAATATTTTCAAGTCACTATTTAAAGGTACCTTATTGATGCCATTATGTTCATGAATAAAAATCCTATTACCAGAAGATGAGTATGGATTTGCAGTCACACTGCACCCTCGCCCTCCCAAAAAAATCATTTTTTTAACCTCTTTGGACAATAGCATAGTCTTCTGAATAAATTTATGTAAGGTTTAATATCATATATAATCCAGCCTTGGAATTCTACAGCAACTGAGATATGAGATAGGCCCCAAATGGAATGGCACCCTAGAACTTGGGACTCTGTAAAAGTCATCAAAGTCAACAAGGACCCACTGAGTTGAGATTGATGATGACTGAATATGCTTTATCTGTAGCTAACTGTGCCCAAGACTGAGTCTGGATTTAGAATAGCAAAACTAGTAACATTTGTTTGACCTGTTTCAGATTCCTTCAACAATTCATCACATTTACATTATTTTAAATAACGTTTAAATGTACTAAGACTGAAAACAAAGCTTACCTTAAACTATTTATTTCCCTGCTCTTGGTTAAAAATTACAGAATTAGTCTTTTTCTGCCACCACTACCACCTCAGCACTGTTGAAAAATACATTACTGTTAGTGATCTTTCTTTTATAACTTCAAACATTTTATGTTAATACCACATTATAAACCAAAATCAATACCATGAGGAGACTCATTTATCACCAAGTTCGGCTGCCAGCTTGAGATATACCATTAACACCCTTTGGCCACAACTTTTGTGTGCTGAGCCTGAGGGTACTTCCAGAAGAGTTCCCCTCAATAGTTCTGGTCTCTTATTAATCACAACTGATTCATCAGCCCTAGCTAGCCATACTAATTATCCCAGCAAAGGTTTTGCTTCAATAGAATTTTTTTCCATTTATTTTATTCAACTTGGAAAATGAGTATAAATCCCAGGGTATTTGCTGAGGGGGAGGCTGGCAATTGATGGATGGGCAACTGAAAGGAAGGAGGAGGGGCAGGGAACAAACATCACAGTCTCTGCTTCAGGTCTCTGCCCCCGAAGGAGACGGTGGGTGAGGGGGTTCAGCTGAGAGCTCAGGTCCGGAGAAACACCATGGTGAGGAGGCCTAACATGTAAGCTGCCACCAGCTTCTGTCCCAGGGACACATGCAGGATTGGCGGCAGCTGGCTGCCAAGTTCGTCCTTCAGTGGCAGTAGCAGGAAGGCCACAAAGATGATACCTGTCAGCAAAGAGCAGGAAGGAGCTGGTGGCAAGTTTCTGGGTGGCATTCTTCTGAAGGTGTCTAGTTAGGGTTGGTCCTGTCCACACAGGAGGCACTGGGTTGGGTGTTGGCTCAGAATATCCTTGAAGTAGCAGGCACCACACTGGCACCACAAGAACAGAGGTGATATCTTTTTGTTCAGCCACTCATTCCTCAGCCTCCTCCTTAGATGGCTCAAAGCAGAATCAGTCCTGGACGTCATAGTGGCTGAGGACTGGATCACGTGCCTAATCACAATGTCAACGCAAGACAGAGGCCTCACTCATTCTTCTGCATTGAATACTGTATATTTAGCAAGTGCAGTAGGTTGCAGAGGGTCAGTAGCTGCTGGGGTCCACTGTTTCGGTCTGCGCCAAGTACTAGGTCTGGGGGAAAGATGGGTCCTGTTAGAGGAGGGGAGCTCTGGGGCTCCGCCTAGGAGCCTTGGATCCACTAGCTCCTGATACTGGGATGTCCTACAGTACATGCAGGCTCTGAGCAGTCAGACATTCCAGGGCAGAATTCCTCCAA